TGGCTACTTGGGGCATTACAAGATCGAGACTTGGACCCATTTCACAGATCGAAAGAGATGGCTGGTTGGAAATAAACTTACTGTCTAAAGGTGGCCGTCTCACACTGTCAAGAGCATCGTTAGCAATCTACCGGTGTACTGCCTATCTTTATTGTCTATCCCTTTGCAATGTGGCTAAAAGGTTGGAATCTTTACAAAACAACTTTTTGTGGGAGGATAAGGAGGATGACAAAAAATTTCATCTCATGGCTTGGAATGAGCTGAAAAAACCCTTACAAAGTGGTGGCATTGGGATTAAGCTTAGAAGGAGGGGGTTAATTTTGGTAAATGCTTGTTACCTTCGTAAAAAAGCTGAGGAAGACTGCATGTACCTTCTCTTACATTGCCCTGGCGTTTATCATCTGTGGTGTATGGTCTACAACAGGTTGGGTATTAGCTGGGTTTGTTTGGGTTCTATCAAAGAAGAGATTTGGGCTTGGAAGCAACTCAGTAACAGCTGTATCCTTGCTGATTTGATTTCCATTTCACTTATGTGGACTGTGTGGAAAGTTAGGAACTGTAAGGCATTTGAGGGTCTTGATGTCACTAATAATTTTGATGTACTGGAGATTAGATGGCTTAGTACCCTGAATGTTTTGCTTACGGGTCATCCTCCAATTTATTTCGAGTCTTATAGGAAGATTACTGGTATGGAGGACTAAGCTGTAAATAATTGTACATGCTTTTTTGCATCTCTGGTGCTTATACTAATACTACTTTGCTACTTTAAAAAAAATGTATAAAAGAAGAATTTCGTTAAGAGAAATATATAAGTTACAATCTGAAGGAGGATAAACTAAACAAAAGGGGAAAAAGATACAGAAAAATAGAAAAAGTAATGAATGAATTGCATCAATGCAAAGTTGACCAAAGGACAAATAGCCCTTCTACAGAGCATCAAATGGTCCTCTCTGCTTCATAGGCATTAATTGAGTCTACTTCTGCAATAAAATTGTGTTTTCTTGGCTTGAATGTCCCAAAAGATTACTTAGTCCATGTTTTGATCATCATCTTAACATGGTTTAACCTTATAGCACCACTGAAGCTAGCTACTCCTCAACAAAGAGTCTAAACCACCACTCTCTATTTAGCTTCTCAAAATCTTCAACCTTTATCGACTTGTTCTTGCATCTAAAAGAAGGCAGGCCTCATTTGGTTTATGAAAATCTAGACATATGGGATAAAGATTATTCATAAACCTGTGCAAAAGCATTGAAAAGACCTGGGTCCTAGGGTCTACTAATTCTAGAAAATGGAGGATTTCTAGAATTTCTCCATGTCCATCAACCACCCTCCAGGAAAGACCAATCAATAGCATATTGGAAATAAAGTATCACGAATATCACAAGCACAAACCCTAAAAGCTAAAGGATGTTTGCAAAGAGTACAGGACCATGTTGAGATTGCTACCCACTATTCAACCACTATGTAAGGGATATCCCACGACTGTATGAACCTGAAAAGGTCCTCCAACAGGCCTCTGTCATGACCTCCTCCTTTACCATATACCCTAATGAAAGTCCAACTGCCTGAAGATTTTAGATTTATATTCACAAGTGATGGACACAACTACTCTGAAGCCCTTTGATGAAGTCCGGACTTCCTTCCACAACACTAGAATACCACAGGACAGGTAGATCAAAGAATCAAACATCCTTTCTTCCCCATAATCCTTTATCGTTAGATCTGTCATGGAGTACACTTAAGTTTCTTGTGGATGACCACATTTTGTTAAAGCCCCTTTGATCACAACTCTTTTGGTAGTATCATTGATATCTCTATGTTTCAAGAAATGATTCTGCTA